TTTCATTAAAATATATTAAGAATTTAAGATATGTTTGAATTTCACAACCATTTTGTGGCCATAATAATTTGTATTTTATGTGTCACTTCCTGTTCACAGACCCCTTACTCTTGCTCTCTCTACTTCTCACACTCAGTCTTTCCCTTTTGATTCAATGCAGCCTAATACCGGAAAGCTTTTTCTATTGGAAAAACATTTTTCATGTCAGACAACTGCCCAATCCAATTAAACAAAAACTGCCCAACTACCAACAGTTTTCTCACTCTCGCGCCTCTAAATCAACTGCCCTAACTCTGCAACCCCTCTCTCTCCCTCTCTTTCTTTCTGTCTTTCTCTCTTTCTCACTCTCTCTCTCTCTGCTGGTGCTTTTTGTATGTTATAAGTCATTAACTTTCTAAATAATCGCCGCAGCGTGTCAACTTTGGTCGTTAAACTTTCATCAGTCGAGGACGCGTCGGTAAGCGCTGGGATTCAGGATTCAGGATTGGGAATCCCAAAAATAAAACGAAGGAGACGGGGAGAGAGAGAGAGAGGCAGTGAAAGAAGGAAGCAAAAAATAAAGCGCTCTGGACACGCGACAGCGTCACAAAAACGGAGCAAAATTTATAGCAAGATATTATTTTCCGCTCGATGAGCAGACAAGTCGTAGGGCGACTTTTGGCACTCACTGTGCGGCGGTGTTTCTTGTGCTCCGGCTAACGTCCCGGCACCAGAACCTGTGGCCGTGTTTTTCGGTGTCGGTGCGTAACTGAGCACGGCAAGAAAAAAAAAGAGAAAAAAAACTGTGGCACATTGTGCCATAAATGAAGACATTATAAACGATGCTGCGGCGCGACCCACCTCAACCACCCGAAACCACCCTCAATGTGGGTGCGTCTGCGGGTGTGTGTGATGGTGTGTGTGTGATGGTGTGTGTGTGATGGTGTGTGTGTGTGTGTGTGTGTGCAAGTAAGTGCGCCCAAGATTAACGGTAGACATTGTAAGACACTTAAAGCTGTTGAAGATTTTTGAGTCTCTTTGTGGTTGGGGGTTCAATGAACTATATTATGACGCGCCTTATATGATATATTACGGCTCGCAAAATGTGCCAGCCAGCGCACATAACCTAGAAATGTATATACATATATAAATATATATACACTGGCAATTTACGACAATGCGTTGGGCTAAGCGAGCAGGTGGCAGCAGATGGTAATAAATGTATTATATGAAGATAAAACTGTTTAAGGAAATGGAAACGCACGGAAGGGCATATATATGTATATATGTTTATACATAAAACGAAACTGCTTTTGTGCTCTTAAAATATTTATAGCCTGCAAATGAGCAAACAAAAACATAAAGGCAACAGGTTTATTAACTTTGTTGGTCTATTTGAAAGAAATAAAATAAACTGCGTTTCAAGTTAATTTTTTTATTCAAGAATGTCGTCTGCTTTTGGGGTTTCTTATTTCAGTTATTTCTATTTAAATAATCCTTGATTTAAAATCTTTTTTTGTTCTAAAAGCTTCATTTTAATAAAATGTACCTTGCACGAGCTACTGCCCATGGTTTAATCTAGAGTTTATGCTAAAAGTCTGTTCTAGTCGTTTTTAACAAGTTTCTTTGAAAAACTTTCAAGTTTTTAGCACAAAATTAATTTGCGGCAACTTTTTCCTTGTCAATTAATATACTATATACACTATATACTATATTAAACCGAGCACATCACCCCATGAGAAACCACAACCTTGAGCACTCAGTTGGAGCCTTCAATTCCAGCACTTAAACTTTCAGTTAAAAAGGTCATTTTCGTGCACGTCCCTCATCTAAAGCGCTGCTTGGGTGCTTCTTGTGGCGAGTGCTTGTCAGAGACCGCAGAATTTAACGCTTCAAAGAACAGCAGGACCTACACACTCGCACACACACACACACACACAGACACCCCAGGCACACCCTTTGTGCAGTTGGTTAAAAAGCATTTTCTGCACATTTAAGCACATAAATTACACATTTCACAATGCAAACGCACAATCAAAGCAACAGAATGTAAACGCAGTCGCATTGAATTATGCCTATCAAATTAGGTGTAATACACCCCACACCGATCAGCCCTATTACCCCTGGCCAACCCTTGCCTACCTTTGTGTTGATTGTTTTTACTGTGCGGACATGAATGCCAGTCACATTATTTCCATAAATTTGCGTTCATTTCCGTTTCCGCCACTTCAAACGGTTCAAACATTACAAACAGCTGGACGCACACACACACACACACACACACAAACACACTCTCTCTCTCTCTCTCACACACACGCTAAAATACACCGCAAAACCGCGCAAAAATATTTAGCGCTCAATGCAAATGATTTACGAGCGTTAAATGTTCTATTTACACGTTTATTTTATTTGAACGGGTCGCAAGTTTCGCTCTTCTTAGTTTGCCTCTTGCCTCGCGCGTCCATCGTTTGATTTGTTTATTATGCAAATTTCTCGCTTGCCTGTTGTTATTATTTTTTTTTTTCTATTATTTTTATTTTTTTTTACTTTCTTTTCCTTTTTGTCTGTGCGCGCTTCACGCAAACATTAAACTGCAAAATTACCATTTATGCAATTCATGCGGAAATACAAACAAAAGTCAATTTTATGGAACGCAATTTTTGTTGTTGTTATGTTTTTATTTTTTCCTTTGGCAAGCCAACGCAAAATACTGTTGCTGCAGGGCGGTAGGTCTGCCATTTTTTAAGTGTTCCCTTTATTATGATATCAGCTGCCGGAACATTTTTTTATACGTTAATAAATTTTTATGCAATATTCCACAATTTGGCAGGCAGCGGTGGTTGGTGTGGGTTGGACTGGGCCGGTTAAGGGTAGAATCATCATCGTTTAAATGGCATATCAAAAATGAAATTATTTTTGTGAAATAATTTGTCGCGTGACAAACGAGGGCTGTCAGTATTCAACAGGCAGCCAGGCCAGCCAGACAATACGTGCAACCTACCATGCGTATACGTAATATGCTAAGGGCGAACTAGAGCACGAACCGAGAACATTTTCGAGAAAAATCAAACATACATGCTTGCCTCTCGACCGAAATTTAACTGCAAATGTAGACGCACGAATTTGTAGGAAAAGTTGGCTGCATAATTTAAAGCTATTTGCAAAAGTTCCAAAGTTTTCTTTACAAAATTAAGAAAAATTCTATCCGCAGAGATTAAACAGAGAATTGACCTTTTATTATAGATATGCAACGCCTGACTTCCTTAGCGTATATCCACATGTTTATGCTGTTTATTGTGCATTAAATAAATATTATGCAGACCTGTGTAGCTGTATTTTTAAAAAGGTTTTTTTGTTAGGAAAAACTTGAAAGTTTTTTTTGATATTCCGATTTGCTTGCAATTCGTTTTTCATAAAAGTTTTGTGTATTTTAATTAGGTTAAAAATATAATGAAAAATTTTATCAAAGTGCATAAAATTACATAAATAATATAAAGTGATTTAATTGAAATAAAAAACTTTAAAGTCTTCAATTTTTTAGATATACCATTAAGCACTCGCCTATATCTACATATATATGCACAAATGTCTTTAATATAGTTACGCAGAAGTTTTACTTCACGCATATTGTTAGATAAATTTACCACATACCTTAACAAGGTATTCTGCCCAAAATTTGATATTTGCTTATGTAAAGTAAATATAAATGTAAAATAAATAATCTGGCATTTTCTGCATTTTCCACAAAACTTTTCTTAAGTTTGCAGCTCAGTTTAAATTCAAATTAAATTGTAATTTATATTAAAAGTACATTAACCCACAACAATTGCCGCCGCAAAGTGGAAACTTTTGCTTTGCGTAAATGCTACTTTAAATACAAAATAAAGTCTACACTCTCTGCGAACTGTATGTGCACCAGAAGTGAACCTTTGATTTTGGACTTAATTTTAATGCTCTGATTTAATTGCGTGTGTTGTCAATTGCAAAGCCGTCGAAAACTTTTAAGTAGCTTTAAAGACAACAAATTTTCAACATCACGTACGCAATTTTATAACAGCGACTGTGGGCAACAATGTGGCACAGCATGGAAAAAGCAAAAAAAAAAAAAGAAAACAAAAAATATACAAAATAAAGCAAATGCAAAACAGACATATTCAAGAAAACAGGCAGTAGATGAAGTCGCCAAGCCTAGACTACAATAAAATTATTCGAAATATTATTTTGTTCGTCTTATTTTTTTGTTTTTGTGATATTTTAATATGCGGGCAATGCGACTCGACGGCTGGCGAAGGGCCGAGCCAGGAGCTAACCGAATGAATGCAGCTCCGCTTCACATTTGCTGTGGCATTTTATTTGTCACGCGTTTTTATCACTTTACGTGCGGAGCAACACAGAGAGTATATAGTATATATATAGTGAGTGTATGTGCGTGTGTGTGTGTGACAGTCCCAGCATCAGATTATCACATTTGCATACGCGCCGCTGCTGTTTCGTGACAGGGCCAGTGCGATGATGATGACGATGACGATAGCAAGTTGGTGGTGGGGGGTAGCGCTGATGAAAGCCATATAGGCCCCCCTTCGCGCCCCCACCCCCACCATATGCAGAAAGTCGCAGTACCCGGGCTGACGTGTGACATTTGCTGTAAGCGACATTTTACCGCCCAACAAGGACTGATCAGGATTGAATTACACACACAATCCGGGACTCGGCCACTTTGATTGCAAACGCTGCGAATGAATGCGAATTTCGGTTGTGCGTGTGTGCGTGAGTGTGCGTGTGTGCATGTATGTTGGGGTTTTTATGACGCAGCTTCCGCGTTGGCAAAACGTTGACAAATATTTTATTATCACATTTTATGATTTTATGAGTCCCCGGATATGAATCACTGAGTGACGAGAAGCTTGCCACAACCACACTCACACACACACACATACACACAGACAAATCGCCTGATAATAGTGGATGATGGGCTTTAACCAGACAACCCTCCAACACACACACACCCACAGCTTGCTTACCGTTTTTATCCATTGATTCCAGCAAAATTTAAACTCCTCCCTATCGATGAAGCCATCGCCGTTCGTATCAAAGACAGCGAATATTTGCTCGAGGCGTTCGTGTGGCACATCATAGATGTGCCCCTTGTCATTGCGGAACAGTGCACGGCAGATTAGCGTAAACTCAGCCAGATTCAGGCGGTCATCGCTGTCGAGAGTTGGAGCAGCAGTTGAATCGGGCATGAAAATAGACGAGGGACAGGCAGACAGAAATAAAGTTAGTTTCCAATATCAAAATCGGATGAGTGCGGCATTGGAGCAGGTATATTGAGTAGGGATAGGTACAGATCGGGTTGGGGTGTTTCCATAAACTTGCTACAGTTGCCCTCTGGGCTTGTTTGTCATGTTGTCGATGGTGGGTTGGTTGGCTGCTGCCAGCTGGTAGCTGTGCTTTAAGTTTCATTCGCATTTCATTTATTTGTAGCATACTTTTTGGGTGCGGTTGCAACCCCTCACAGAAGCTGCTTTCAATTCGTGTTCGTTTAATTAAGGTAATATTAATGCGATTATGTTTATTGATTTACGCTTAAATCGATGGCTACATAAAACTGTTGAAAATGTCAATTAGAATTAATTTATGCAACATATTCCAGTTTTTTCTTCTTTTTGCTCAACTTCTGCGCGCGGCTTTCATAAATTAACTTAGATTTGGCAAAAATTAATGCAGCGTTTTTTATGTCACTTTTTTATTTGTTTGTATTTAATAAATAATACCCGCATTTTCCGCAAAATTTGTTATGCTGCTCATTGACGTTGTTAATTCACTTAATTTTGTTTATTTATTTTCACGATTTATTTATTTATTATGGCAACTTTCACACTTTTACAATTTGTTTAAATATTACCTTTTTTTTATATAATTGATTTGCTTTGTGGCGGGATGAAACTAAAATCGAACGAATTAAACGGAAATATTTCAATTTCAATTTGCTTCATAATTACATTAATGCAATAAGTAAAAAGTTAAACAAATTTTAATTGAGAGTTGTCAACAAGCAAATGTCCGGTACACGGTTCTAAAGTATCCAAACATATTTCTTTTTTCTTTGCAAAATACTTTCAGTATTCAATGATGTGCTAAAAATACAATTATTCAAAATTTCAAAATTTACAGAGCTGATATCAAATTTTGAGGTTTTAACTCTTATTGGTTTTGTGTATCCAACTGTCGAGGTAGAAAAAAATATGTAAAAACTCTTCCTGTTACATGCATAAGATTAAGCGTGCTATACCTCATTTATATGTGTATATGGCTACAGGGTATTATTAAAGAGAATAATGGATAAGGTAAATGTTGTGAAGCGCTTTTCATATTATTTATTAATACTTCAATGCTGTCCGCGACAATATTTAATTGATTTACTTTATTTTGAGGCAATTAAGTGCATTAATCATATTATATATGTTTGTGTAGAGTATATTTTTATTTTTTTAATAATTTTTACATTATTAAGAATTCGATTTTATTAGCATTATAAACAGTATATAAGTAAATACGTATATAATATTTAATATAATATGGCTTTAACATTTTTTTATATACCTTTATATATTTTTTTATTGGTTGGTTTTGTTGGTGAACTTTCCATTTTTTACATTTTTATTTAGCTGGTTCGAGCTACGGGCTTTAATTTATTAAAATCCAAAATAAAAAATACTATATTATTTTAATATGTATTTCAACGTATTCAGGTCAATTATTTTACATGTCTGCACTCTTTGGCGTGGAGGTTATATTTTCATATTATATTATATTTAATTTTTATTTTGTATAATTATTAAAAATTATATTTTAGCTTTTGCTATTATTATATTAAAAGATATAATGCTCTGACCATTTAATTTATTTTGACTTTTAATTCAAAATCTTTTCAATGTTTATAATTTTTAAATATTTATGTAACTTGCAAAATATTTATTAAAAGTTTTTTTTTTTAACCGCTCATTTATATATATAAATATATTCTTTTATTTAAGTTATTTTTAGTATTAAGAATTCAGTCTATATATTTAAAATGGTTTATTGACGATTGGGTGATCATATTTTGTGTTTATTATTATTTTTTAAAATATTTTTTTTTTGACTCTGTTGTCTGTTTATTTTATACGCACCCATCCTTGTCGAATGCCGTGAAGCAAGCGTCCATTGCTGAACCGTTCGAATCGTCGATGACAATTGGCGGTGTTGGTGAATCCATCGCTGTGACAACGTTGCCAACGTGTCCAAGCAGCAAACAACGTGAGCGCTGTGTGTGCAAGTTCTCTGAGTTTGCGACTTAATGAAGCCTCGAGCCGAAGCCAACTGCAAGTTAAAGTGAAGCCATCAATAATAACAGTAGCAAACACACACATACACACACACGCGATAGTGTGGCCACGCCCACTGCCCTTTGCTGGAATTCGTTGAGACAAGCTTTGGGTTGGGGCTGCCGGCTTACCAGCTCAGCATGAACGCCCGCCAGTTACTGAGCCACTGGCTCTGTCCCGTTTCGATGGTCGCCTTGCCATAGATTTATCGAATAAACAAAGCAACTAGCGCACCGCCCGCACCGCCCGCACCACTTGCACCATCGTCATGGCGACGACGTCATCTTGTGGTCTATTTTATTTATTTGATTTCACGCCCCACCCATCGACCATCGAGCCAGCCAAGCGAGAGCGGCTTTTGTGGCTGCGCCCGCAGCGATTACCTGACGGCATTTTTCCTAATCAAAAACTGCGCATTGTGTAAGCCTTTTGTGGCATTTGTTGTTGTTGTTGCTTTTGTTGTGAAAATGTGAAATGTGGAAAACGCCTTTGCGGCAGTTGGCACAACAAAATGCCAAAAGCTGCAGCAAAGTTTCAAACTCGTAACCATTCAAAAAAGAAAGGAAACAAAATGCGGGCGCATCGACTGCAATTGCGAGCGAGCTGTGCGAAACGCGATGTATGCGATTTGGAGGCGGTTTAAAACGCGTCATAAGTACAGTTGCCACACAACAAGTTTTTAGCCTCGTTTTATACATTTTTTTGTGTGTTATTGGCATAGGATTCTGCTTGAAGGAGGACTTTCGGAGTGGGCTGCCCTTCCCCCTCCCCTCCCACCAACCCGCCCACTCTTCGAGCTAAAATCAAGTTCTTGTGCTGACGCAGACTAACAAGGCCAATTGTTGGCATGTGGACGGGGCTTTTGTCAGCTATTTCCTCATATTACCCACAATTTCTGAGTACGTCCATAAGAAGTGACAATGCGATTTTCGCCAGCAACTACTTTGGTGACAATCAACTGCGAACTCACCTAACTATATATACTTTCGCCTTGACTTATTTTAGCAGAAGTGTTTTGCTCTTAGACTCTAACTTGAGTTTGGCAGCTAGCAATTCATTGATTTTGATAAAGCCATCTGTAATTAAGGTTCTTTAGCTTTAAAAGAAATGGCGCAATACTCGATACAGCTGGCTCAGTCATTCAGGCAACTTAATATCGAGTATTCGATTCCGAATGCCAGGCTAGTGTAAATATTTGTTTTGTATTAGCTGGCACTGACAGTAGCCAGGTATATTATTATCTATGTGTCCTATACTGTTAATATTAATATAAAAAGAATAAACAAAAAATTTGCGATCATTTTGATAAACCACCTAATTCAAAAGCATGACTAAGATAGAGTTAATGTAAAGTCTTATCGATAAAGTGAACTCTAAGTCGAATGCTTCTTATCACTGCAAATGTTTCTCTTTATAAAACGATTATATACTTATATATATATGCATAGGTATCTTTATATGTGTATATGTATATATAGTTAATTGCGGCTCTCCTTTAAATTGCGCCTATGCTCAAAAGTTCGCTCATTAGAAATAGAAAATGGCTCTTAGTTTCTTACCCAAAATCTCAATTTAACAATATTTTCAAACAACATCCTGAGCATGTCAATAAAAATATCAGAAACGGCACAAATAATATTTATTTAAATTAGGCACATCATGTCACATCATGCTGCTCCCTTAGCTCCCAACTAAAGCTAAGCTAGGAGCAGCCTAATCCTTCATTTTTCCTTGTTTTTTTTTTTTTCGTAATGGCAGCTGCGACCAGAATAAAAGTATATAAGCCACAAAGCCATAGATTTCCATTTAACTGAAAGTCGTCGCAATCCTGGCACAGACTCAAAGCCGAACATTGTTCATGTTGTGCCGAAATATAAGAACTAATGCGCAGCGAGCGATAAATTTAAATTTTATATGTATGTTTACTTAATATTAAAGATTTATGAACAATATGTGTGGCAGAGCAACTGCAGCAGCAGCAGCCACACAAACACACACACACACAAACTAACACACACATAGGTGGAAAAGGTCTAATAAAATAAAAATATGGCACAACAAATGTGTCGTGCTGCGGGGTTCTGGTTATGATTTATGCCTGGGCATAGAAACCAATCCCTGACCTATGACCGCGCTCCCCGCCACATACCCTTATCTAAGTCGCATGAATCAGCAGTTAAAATCAGCAAAAGGGCAGCCGCCACATAAAAACCATAAATGATTACACAGAGTTAAGAGTTTTTTTTTTAGTATGCCTTTTGAATTAGTTCGTGTACTTTAATACACTAGAAACTTGGTCGCAGATAAACAAATAACAAATAACAAACAATTTGAAGATGTGGTCTTTATGCTGCCTGCTCTCTCTCTCTCTCTCTCTCTCTCTCTCTCTCTCTCTCTCTCTCTCTCTCTCTCTCTCTCGACAATAAAAATGCGCATAATTTGCGCTGAGCTCAACAAAAGTTTTGCCCAAATAAACTTAAGTACAACTCCCCAAGGGGGTGGTGGTGGTGGCAGCAATTGTGGATTGAGTTTCCAGGCGCCACAACACTAATTGAAAACTATTTTTGGAAAACAGCCCCTAGTCCCTGATCCGGGCGGGGCCCACCCACATTTGGGTTAATATGTAAATGGAGGATAACGCGAAATGCGCAAAACTTTTGCTGCGAAACAATTTACGCGGCATTAAGCAAAACGCAAGCGCACACCTTACCCAGCCCGCAACATCGTACCATGCCTCGATATTTAAGCTTAGCTAAGGATTTTTTTTTTGCTTTGTCGGTTGGGCTTGGGGGTGGCCTGCGTTTGCGGCCTGCAATTGTTTTCGATTAAAGTTGCCGACGTCAAAGTCATTGACTAAATAAAAAGCATCATAAAAGTGAAAGCAGTTAGCCCCAGCTCCTCGCACCCGCATCAAATGGCAAAAAACTTTGACAATTTTGGCAAATAATGAAGCCCGCACGTGTCGAAATTGTTTGCTTCAGGTGAGACAGTCGATAGGTGAGACCCCAGTTGACGCCCCCAAAAAGAACTTAATCCTGACTGTTTGACTGTGACTGAAACTCAAACTTTAGCGGAACATGAAGCCCTGGCAGACACTTTAAGCTCAACTTTATAGCGATCAAATGCCGTGAGGTGTGCGTTTGGATTATGAGAATGTGAAGGAGAGATATGAGATATGCTTCAGAAAAATAAATGATGATAAATTCTGTAACATGCAGCGATACGCAGCAAGTTGAAAAGTTGCACAAAGAAAATACGACTTGTTATTTTTATTTATACATTTATAGGATATATACTTTAGAATTGAATTCACAATCAGCTGAAGATCTCAATTCCATGCTACTCTAGAAAGCAAGGTACCTTTGAAATCTGTTTAGCTCAGTGTATGCATACACATAAAACTACACACACATATACACACAACCACACTAGCCGCAAGCTAAGAACTTTATCCAACGGCTGTGCTTCTTCTTCACTTAGCCCCACTCTTTGGGGAATCCAATCTTAAATAACTTTGATGTTTATTGTCCGATCTGTATGTAATTTTCAGGTCTTAAATATGACATAGATAACTGTGTGAATACCAAATCCGAAGTCTTGAAATAAATTATTAAAAATACAGAGGGAAACTAGTGAAAATATAGATAAAGTGAAATATTTCATATGACATATTGTTGTTAAAAAAAAAAACAAGATTTCAATTTTTATATTTATCGATTTTACTGCAAAGGGGCGAGCTATTGAATATTGGATTTCAGCTTGGTCTTCGCGGAAAAAAGAAGTAGAAACTTTCTTAAATTTCGATTCGTCTTGATCTAAGCCAATTTTTACCATTTTGAATGGGTTCACAATAAATGTAATTATAGCAGGCGTATATAAGGCATGCAGCTCGTTTCATTACAAAGGAAAACTATTTACATAGCAATCATCGCAAAATGAGTTCAAAAACTAGCCCAAAAGACATTTATTTCTTTTATGTAACGTGAGCCAGCGAGTCAGCTTGGTTGGAGCTAACAATAAACAAAAATCAGTGCTCCGAATCTTTTGAAGAATTTTAGTGCTTCCTCGGCAGGGCTGTAGCAAAACGTGAAGTAAGCTGGCGACGTAACTCAACAAAGACGCGTCGCGGGCGGGAGGTGAGCGGCTGAGGGCAAAGTCTTGCATAATTTGCCAGTTGGGGCACTGAAAAGTAAATTACCGTCTAAGACTTCCGGTTTTTAGGGCGGGGCGGCGTCAAAAGTGGCTTGTCAAGCCGGTGGGATCAGCTAATAAACCAAGCGATGCACGCGGGCTCTTTGGCTGGGACGGTGCGGAGGGCCAGGGCAGGGCAGGGCAGGGCAGGAAACAGGCGCTAAGTGGCGCGGCGCATTTAAAAGCAAACGCCCCGAGGTCGTGCCACAATTTTGTTGCTGGCTTGTGGGGCGGCGGCAGGGTGGCGGTGCGGCGGTGCGCCTGGTAACGAAGCCAGCCATCAATTGAATTGCCGAAAAAATTTAGCAGCTTCTGTTAGGGCACAGCCGCAGCCAGGCGCCTATAAAAGGCTTTCAATTTTTTCGCTTTTTATACACTTGCCGAGGCAGAGGGTAGCATAAATTTGCCATAAGATATGTAAGCCATAGCTTATAAGGCCACGAACCGAAAATTGATTTGTAATAGTTGGGAAACATATCATAATCCAAAACTGGGCTTATGGATGTGAAAAACCAGATTGACAAAGAGACCAGATATTGATTTGAATAGCGAAGCGAACCATCAAAAACTTCATTAGATTTGCAGCCTTGACCTTTCTGAAAATTTCCATTGATCCGTAATTTTGCTACCGGTATGGCATACGCCAGTTTGGGCCTAATCGGACCACTACATCATATAACCTAAATAGAAATTATCTATTTCTTTCTTATCTATATCCTTTAAGACTAAATATCAAGACCTTGCGTCCCTTTTTATTTGGATTTCTATATGTAATAGGAATAGAAACAATCGTCCAGCTACTGA